CTTTTCCAGAGCTCAGCACTGGCTATGCCATGCCATCTGAGGCCCATCACAGACCTCCTATGACCCTTCTACGCACCCAGTTCTCCTCTTACCACCTGCCCAGTCTAGGCCCCAAAACCTGGACTCACTCCACAAACTCGTGCTCCCCCAGGTTGGTAAACATATAGCCATGGTAACCGAAGACATCACCAGTGAAGAACTTGATGCTATTCTTGTGGCAAATCTGGTCAATCTTCACCATAACATCCCGGGAGCAGCACGTTAGGCAGACCTGCAGGCACAGAGTTGTCATTCTTAGCAGAAGTTGAACGTTTACCAACTCGCACCCCCTCCCTCCTCAGGGGAGCTGCTGGGGATTGTTATTCCATGCTGGGGTGTGAAATCTTCCTTCCCTTCCTGGACAGTTAGGAAGGTTTCAGGTAGAACTGTCATTTCATTCACAGTGGGACACTGAACAGTACTCAGAGCAATTATCAATTTTCCTTCCTGTCACACTAAATTCTGATGAAAACACTGGGTAATTCCAGGAGTCTCCTCTCCAGGGATAATTAGGAGGTTAGGGGTAGCAGAATCAAGTTTCTGGACAAAACAGGATGGTTCCTGGAGGCAAGAATTTGGCAACAAAGCTAAATGCAGATATTTTCCATGTAATTGAAATTCAGGGCCTGTCCCATCCTGGGAACTGAGCAGGGTACATACCCTCGAACAGCTCCCTACAGGGGCACACTATTACTAAATAGTCAGAGAGCTTTATGTCCCACTTAACAGCTATTTCTTGCTGCAAGCACAATCCCTTACATTTCCCCCCCCCCATCTGCCAGCTTCAGGTTGACACCCTGCAGTCAACCAGAGAAGACAGGAACAGGCAGTTGATTCACATGAGCGGTGAGACCTGGATGTGCTCCTCGTTCTCCCAAGACAGTCTGCTTTCTTCCTTTCAAAGCTGCTGTCTGATTTTCATAATCCAATATGAGCACAGAGAGCAGAATTGGGAAAACATGCACACTGCAGTTACTAGAATTACTATCACATCACACCCAGAAAGCTGTCAGCAGGCAGCCACTGTCTGATGCAACCTACAGAGACCAGAAGGGGAACAGATGCCATTTATGAACAATCAGCCAGACCAACCTGTAACTGCAGCATTACAACTTGTGCTGAGAAGCAGCTAAACATGCACACGCTAAGCAAGCCGTTCTGCAGAAACTCAACTACATGAGGCTCAAGGATACACAGCCCAATATTTTACTCCCAAAACTTTGAGCTAATGTAACCACTCTTGTCCAGAACAAAAAGAGCAATTAGCGAGGTATTGTCCCAAGACCTGTATGGTTCTGATTGCTCTCAAATTCTTTTTCCTATTCCCTCACCATTTAGTCTCTGCTCTCCCAACAATGCTACACCAGCACCAGTTCAAAGCTTTTTTCCTGAGTCCAACATATCAATACAAACCACCATGAAGAAATATTTTCACAGATGTAAACGTGCCTTGGTGACTCAGCATGCAACTGAATTGTAGCAGTTTTAAACTGATGCAGGAGCACTCATACAAGCATTTGTACCACTTCAGTCAAATCAGTTCAAGACAACTTAAGACCAACCAATACAACTTAACTGTAGGTAAGTCAACAACTGCTAAGTCTCTCTTCCTCTGACCTTTTCCCCTCATGGCACTTACTGCATCAAACTGGGTGAAGAACTCTTCTGGCTTGTTCTCTACGTTCTCAGGGTCAGCTTTCACGTCCACCATGGGATTGAGACTCTGCGCCCGCTCCAAAGATGCTTCAGCTCTATTGCGGCCCAAGGAACCCACAGGGATCAGGAACTGAGCTCTAGTGTCCTCTTGAGAAACCTGAAATAGGAGAAAATGGAGAGAGATGAGTCTTCCCTGTGCTGTTAACTGTTCCCAGAATCACACAGGGCAGCAACACCCACAGGAGAATTACAGCAGATACATTGTAAATGGGAACTCACATAGCTGAAAAGGGACAGCTAACCAGTGCTATCCTTGCAGCAGGAGTGTTAAAAGGCTCATTGCAAGATAACCAGAGAAAAGTCTCATTAGGAGGAAGGATCCAGGGATAGGACCACTGCCTTCTCCAGGAAGGAAGGGCAGATTTGAGGTTTTTAAGATGGGACCATTCCAGCAGATACTATTGCACAGTGACCGCTTGGATCCCTCCTTACGTGTTCTCCCTTCATAACCCTTCAACTGCACCAAGTATTCATCTCTGCTTCAAGAACAACAGAGGTCTCCACGTCCGCTTTTCAGAGGAACAGGCAGGACAAACAGCAGGCAGCACCCTCACATTTTTTGCACTCCTTGCTCCCAGGCCGATTCTCAGACCTTGCAGATCACTTCGCCCGCTCCTGAGCTCAGAGCTCCCTCTTGTGCCCGAGGAGACACCAAGCTACCACAGCGGGCACCACGGCTGCAGCAGTCCGGCACTGCGACCTAGCGGCTGCACTCACTGGAAAAACAAGCAGCCGCAACTGAGGCTCCTCCACAAACCCCCCCCCCCCCCCCACCAAAAAAAACCCCCCCGGCTCTGTCTGGCCCTGGAGCAGCCAGTACTGCCACAAACTCGCACCAGAAACACTATGCATACAAAATCCCTCAAATGCTCATCCCTCAAACCCTGCTGAAGGCTCCCTGAGCACCTTACACATCCTTGCCTGCGCCTCTTCCAAACGCAGAGGAGGGTTTCGTACGCTGTGCGGCACCTACCAATTTCAGTCATCCCTGGGCCTCCCATCTCCTGTGACAGCAGAGTGAACTGCAGGGCACAAGGCTCTGGACCACGAATAGAAACCTGCTGCACATTTGACAGAGGCAGACTAAACGCTCAACCACAGACTCTATTTAGAGGCCCGGGTTCCATGCGATCCGAGGCACGATCCGAGGCACGAGCGGAGCCCTAGCTGCTTTTCACACACTGTTACAGTCTGTTAAACACCTGCAAAGCCCTAGATAAACACAGAAAGGGGCTGTTCAGACCAAGATAGAGGGGAGAGGCCTGGGTGGAGACCTGCTAGAGAAAGGCCACACACTCCCAGAAATAAGCGCGAGACTATGAGAACAGGCTTCTCAGATCAGGGTACACAGCCACATGTCTGCAGGCAAGATAGCAGGGGAGAAACTGGGGAGCCTGCAGCTCAGCCCTCAGCTTGACAGAGTGCAGATGAGTACAGTCTGCTTATGCCTCTCTCAAATTTAACTCCATGCTTGTCATAAGGAGGCGCACCAATGACTAAAAGTGCACGGGTATGGGATTTCTCTCTACAGACACTACATGCCCCCTATACCCCCTCCCCAAAGACATACACATAGACACACACCCCCACCACAAAACCCCTACTCCAGTAAGCAATGAAGAAGTCCTCGAGCTCAGACACCCTACCCCCTCCACACACCTACCAGTCCCCAGTAGGGGCTTTGCTAACCATCCCCTCACCCCCCACTGGCCAGCACTGCAGCCACAAGGAAGAGAGAAGCCTGAAGCTCCCACCTGCTGATGGTCCAGCATGGTCAGGCCTTTGACACCTGCCAGGATGAGATTCTTTGCCACTTCTGCTCCAAGGCCTTTCATCCCCACCAGCAACACCCGGGAAGCTCGTAACCTGCAGTGGAAACACTCGGTCACCGTTAACGGCTTCACTGGAGCACCACGTCCCCAGGGAGAAGGGGAATCAACCACAGCGCTCACGGACAAAACACAACAGGGTGAAAAATACATTCAATGACCAAAGAGGAAAGCTGCGCTAGTAAAGTAGCATCCCTGCCACCAGGGATGGAACCACCGCCTCCGAAATCACCATCACCTCCCAGTTGGGAAAACTTAACTAAGGAGGCAGATATGCATGCTGGGCATTCACAGAAGTCCTGAACCGTGGGGAAAGTTGAGCTACAGCCAAATATTCACTTGGCCCAGGCAAAATGGGAGAAGCCCAGGATCATTACAGGAGAGCCAAACATGTCTGGCAGGACCTGAAAGTTTCACAGCAGCATCAGGGAAAAGAGTAGAGGTATAGATTTAACCACGATACCTGATACGGAAGAAAAGGAAGAGAGATGGGAGCTGTTGGGCGTCAGTAATCCAGATAATTCACAGAAAATAGATTATTTGCAGCTTTGAAAGAGAGACTAAAATCAGTATGCACTGATAAGGCCTCGTATTGCTTTTCAGAGAACAAGGGGTGGACTCACAGGTTCACTACAACACCACAGTTTGAGGTTCCTAATAGCAAATTCTAATAGTCCAGCTGAGGCCTGGACCTCAACCTCACCCACTGAAGGTGCACTGGGTTACATGCCAACTGATTGGGATATATATAAAATTAATAGCATGATATAATTAATGGAAATTATTTCTTTGCAAATATTTATTATGAGACCAAGTTATGTATGCAATTTCTAAGTTCTCAGAATAGCTGAATGCTGACTTTCCTTGCTTTTTAAAATCAATTTAAATAATTTTTTCCTTAGCATTCTTTTGATTGACTAGGTTGCATTGTTTTTCTAACAAAATCAAGTTTATTTAGACTACCTTAATAAGTAATCATCCAGAGTGTTAAATAGAGTGGCTCTATCATGTAGGTCAGTTAAGTCAGGAGGTCACTGATGGGTGCTTTTTGGCCTCACGGTCTATTTCCATGCTTGCTTTCACTCTGCATCTAGCAGCACCATTATATTTGTGCCCCTATTTCAGGTCCGCTCCATCTTCTCCCATACACATACTATTGCTATTTTCAAGGTAACATCTAAGAAATTTAAAGCTGGCAGAAACCTGGACAGGCTGCAGTAAAGGGCTGCAAAGATAACTTGAAAGCTGAAGAGGCCTCACAGAGAAGATATGGGCTGAATAAGAGGCTCTTTAGCAGAGAACCAGCAGGTGGAAGCAGATGCTCGGCAATCCCAGCTGGGAATGAATGAGAAGACTTTAACAATAGAAACTAAGTAGTGGATCAGACTCTCTTGTAGATACGGTCAATATTTTTGTTATCTTCAACCTAAGGAGGCACGATTTTCACCAAACGTGCGTTATCACTGGGCTCCAGTTTGGGTAAGATTTTCCAGCCTGAACTGTGCAGGAACTGTGAGGAACTAGGGACACACAAAGGGGTACAGCTTACAGCTCTCACCAGCCTGCTGCACAGCGACTGTGTGTGGCTGGAGAACCAAGCAGTCTCCCAGGCAGCTGCTAGCCAGGGCTCCCACATCTCTGTCAACACTGTCCTACATGTGTGATGCGTGCACAAGCAGGGCAACTGCCCAGGATTTCCACAGACGAGGTTTAAAACTTCTCTCAGGGTGCCAGCAGCAGCACAAAGATCGACATCTCACACCGGGCCACCACAGGGTTTTTCTCCTGCCCTTCTGCCACCATCTCCCTGAGCACCTCCTCCCACTTTCCCACCCCGTATGCTACCCTGCCTGGCAGCTTCCTTCCTGGGGCCCCCATTTCCCCAAACCCCTCTCCCAGGTGCCCCAAGCCTTGCCTCCCCCATCTCCTACTGTCCCAACCCCATCTCCTCCTTCTTCAGCTCCCCAGAGCCCTGAGACTTCTAGAGACCTTCTAGACCTCCACAGGCTCCTATAGACCTCGCGTGCCCCCATACACACCACCAGCTATACAGACCCTTCTCAAGCCCCTGCAAACCTCCTGCAGATACCCCACAGTAACTGCGGTCACTGCATTAGGGTCCCCCCCAAGCCCCTACAGGCCCCCACCACACACCGTGAGGACCACCTAACCCATACCAACC